GGAATAAACTGACTTGTCATATCATGTGATTTGAAAGTGATTTCTGCTTCATTTAGCTATTTTCACAAAGGCATATACTGACTAGCCATATCATGCGATTGGAAAGTGATTTCTAGCAGTGGTGACGTTAATGTCTGTACTGATGCACGTGCCTTTGGGAATTCATAAACACGTGTACAAGTTCATACAAATGACAGTTACCATCAAAAATGACAGTGTAGTGCTGAGCGGAATAAATTTGAAATTCTTCATAGTTTGATTTATTTTTCTTGGGATCCTCAGAAGGCAACATTTCGTTAAATTGAAGGGGTCCAGGCTGCACAAAAGGGAAGCATAAATTTCTTTAAATTAATGGGGTAGAAGCCACACAAAAGAAAAACATTACTAGTACTTTACTAGTAAATTGAAGGGGTAGAGGACTCACCCAAGGGAAAAATATGTTTAAATTGAAGGGGCTTCTCTTAGATTTCTTAGACTTATTTATAGATATTGAGATTGCATACAAAGAGAGAGAGACATGTTCAAGTTGAAAGGTTTCTCTTACGTACTTCTTCAAACATGACTTTAAAATGTACATGAATCCTGTAAATGCCTCAGATACTACCCATTGCAATTTGATGAGGAACGAAATGAGTTGTATACTAGTACTGTATCTGTAATTCTAGTGTAGCTAACATTCACAGCATGTTTGCTGTGTTAATTTTTATATTTTTCCCTTTTGGTTAAAAGATGAAACGAAGAAACCTACAACTCATACCAGCTTATTTCTTTATTCTTTTTATTAATCCAAAAAATGATTTTCTTTAAAAAGTGAAGATTGATCTGTGTCTTAAAGCTACACAGTGAACATTGAACCTTTATATAGCAAAATATCAATTTTCTGGAAATTTCAACTCTTTTCCCCCCGGATCACCAAGGTATTCCATTACATAAACCATTCACAAATTACTGTCTGTGAACTGGTTATTGAGTTCTGAGTGCCTTTGCTTTTGAAAGACTCTTGTAATGGAGATGAAGGCTGGTGAGATGAAGGATGGTAAAAAAAAATTGAATTTAAGATTGTGAATAGATTGTACTTTTTTCAATGGCTTGGATAGTATAAAGGAAAATTGCTGAATTGTACAGGACAGTCCCTTTTTTTTTTTTTTTTGCTAAAGAAAGGTCTAACGTGAATTGTAGCTTTATACAAGTTTGCATGTTGAAGGTGATTACTGACATCAGCCCCCGCCGCCCTCTCAATTCACACTTGAGTTAACCCTGAAAACAGCCAGAAGGATTATTAGCGTCTGTCACCTGTCTTCATTCAGGAACTAATAGCTAACCACAAACAACAACTTCATCTGAAATGGCAAACCAAAATGAAAAATGTAAACACGAAGGTTTGCGTTTGCAAAATAATTGCTCCCATTACTAGAAGGCAGAGAGAAGAAATCTAAAAGAAAACAAGTTATTTGTTAATTTTGAGATGAGTACATTTCTCCTCTCAGATGAACCATTTCTTGTTGGCGTGAAATAATGAAATTTTTATACTGAAAAGTAAAATACTTTAGAATGGTATGCTTTAGAAGATAATTATTACAGACATTTAGTCCCATTTCTCTGCCTTTAGAGCCTTATAAACACAGCTTTTTTATTGTCACTTAAAAAAGGTTATTTGTGGAAAATAAGATATAATCTGTATTTTTATTCTCTTCCTAAAAATACTTATATAATTTGAGATGCAAAATGTAACTTCTTGTCTAAACCAACATGGAGTTTGCATGAATTCTGGAATTAGCCGAGAATCGGAATCTATTGATTACTTGAGTCAATATGAACATTTCCAGCACAAAAAGGCATAGATGGGAGAGCTGGCTGCGGGGTATTGATTTTTGTCTTGAAATATTTCCCATCCATGATAAAGCCACAGGGGCCTATTGTACTGCAAAAAAATACAGCAATCAGCATCCCTGTCATCATAATGTGGCCCTGGTCGTGGATTGTGTTAGTTGTGACATGGAATGTGTTCTTGGTTGTGCCAGCTGCCTGGCTGTGTGACAGCATCAAGGGGCCTCTGTGTTTGGATGGTACATGTACCACTATCTATTAAATTTTCCAGGAGAGAGGGTTTTGGCAATAAGGGTTGATTATACTGAAATGTGGGAGAAAGAGGGGGTGAAGAGAGGGTGGGGGAAGGTGCCTGGGTTAGAGTGGACTCAGTAGTGAGGGGAATACACTGTACTAGTATTTGGGTTTATGCAAAGGAGGAAAAGAAAAAAGCAGTGAGAATGGGTCATTAGAGGGTCATTCCTACCTGTCCCAGGGGGAGTGAGTTGGTACTAATTTCTGGACCAGTGCATGTGTGTTAAAGAATTGTTGATGAATCAAAAAGTGTGTGTTCATGTTTGGGTGTGTACCAGTGCGTGAATGCGAAAATGAGGATGATTTGAGGTTATACCTAACTCTGTGCCATCAGTATGTGGCAGTGTTGACATTACAAATGTATGAACTCTATTTTATAATTCATGCTTTTACGCCAACAACTAGAAGACTTTGATAATAATGTCATTATGATAATATTATGATTGTGACCTGTGCGTGAATCATTGGGACAATGTCATTATTTCACTGATGTCAGTAGAAAACGGACACTTAATCACTCCAAAGTGTGTGAATTGATTTCTTAAAAGAAGCCTAAATCTAATATAAAATAGCATGATGATTTTACAAACCACATCATGTAGGTTTTATTTTTAAAGTATGAAAAATTTCATTTTAGTGGCACATAACATTTGGAATGTTCCCTTTATTTTTATGATAAAAATGGATAACATAAGGAAGAAAATTGCTTAAAATTTTTCATTTAGCTCTTCATTTAAGTAAATTTATATATAAATATAATCTTGATCAAAAGTTGAAGGAAATCTATTAATTAAAGTCACGATTTGTTTCCCTGCTTCACAATGCATGCAGTCTTAAGCATATTAAATGATATGTACATTTCATTTATATCTGGAAACTGCCGCAAACCACCTTAATTCAGTTAAGCTTGAATAAGAATGTATAACGATGACTGCTAAGAATGTCGATTTTTATACTGTGGGGCAACTTCTCAGACTCTCGGCAAAGACTTACCACAGTCTGTATATGTGCATAACATTATCCTCAGAAATATATTCATGACGTCGTCTAGGCCGAGGTGAAATGGCACAGAATGACGTGGTTTTCTGTTTTCTGGAGCGGGCAGCTGGTTAGGAAATTTTTTCACCTTTACTGCTACATAAGTATCTAAGTGTCGGCCATTGAGTTAAATAGCTGAACTGGATAGGACGTAATTAGAGACGTCAATTAACGCACAATGGATGGATTCATTTGTGGAACTGGTAAGAGGCGATGAAAAGCTTTTTAAGAGGAATCATATTTTAATCCAGATTACTGTCAGGAGGAATGCCATTTGACATTCTGTTGGCCTATTATTAGGTGGGAATAATTATTATAATGATCTAGAATTACAAAGGATGGGACCTTCAATGAAATTGGTAAGAACTTAGCAGTTATTTCATTAGTTATGTAAAGAAAACAGAGATGAGAGTCAGGTTACCAAAGGATAGATGATTTTTTTTTGACTAAGCATTTTTTTTCCTAGACATATTAAGGAATACAAGACGGTCGCTTTCTTTTGTAATCTTAACCATATTTTAATCGTTCCGTGTACTGTTCAATTATGTGACAGCTGTTATTCAATTAAGAAGAAGCCAGACACATGAAGTCCTCAATTAGCGTTTACCTCAAAGACAGAATGGTAGATTATTTGTATTAGACATTTTTGCCAGTTGATTGCCATTGTGTTATTGACTTAATGATACTGTGTTTACAAACATAAAATTATGAAAATTGGAGGTGATGTATTGAGGATGAGAATGGAGATAGAAAACATAAAGTTATGAAAATTGGAGGTGATGTACTGAGGATGTGAATGGAGATAGATGCTGACAGTAACATAGTGAGAGTAATCAAATATATAGAGACAGATAAACTGTTTAACTGTTGGGATTGGGTAGTGGTTGTGGTTTGGATTTTAAACAGAATAAATCACTATGTATCTACATGTACTTGAATTTTTCTTTTACAAAAAAGTAGGAATGCTCTTGTTTTAAGACTAGGAGTGACACTTATTTCATAGGACTTCTCTATATTCAGTGTAGATCAGAGTACACTGAAAGTTTTGTCCTTGAGTTAACACCAACTTCCCTCTTAATTAAGGCGCAACCTTTTGTATTATTATTATGTTCTATATTAAATATGCAAGACTGCAGAGACACATTGATTGAATAAGTATTTACTAGTATGCCAATTATGTTCAGTTGTCTGTTGCCAAATATTGTAAATGTTTTTGTTTCCTGGATACTAGACCCTTCACCAGTCATCGTATTAGCCATGATTTACCGATACATGTTCAGTAGATTAAACTCCTTTTTGCCTACTTACAAAGTGAAAGCATGTTCATGTGACATGTCATGTTTTGATGAATGATTTGAATCCCACTGGCATTTCTGAATATATATATACGCGCCTTACAGCATGCCATCTTCTCATTACTTCAAGGTATTAAAGGAAAGTTGTCACCTTTTTCATTATGAAAATGGAGTGATGACCATCTTGTATGGTATTTGAAAGGTTATATATGGGTGGTGATGGATGCAAATTCTATTCTGTTGTGATTTTCCTGTGTACTGTAACTGTGTGTGTAGTACAGTGTATGTTTTGTAGGCCGATGACGTCTTTTTTTTGTAATAATACTGAGACATGTATCACATATATATATACTAATATAGAGACCCCTCGTGTGCGTTCAAACAAGCGCTGTCACTCGTATAGTTGAATCTTCAAACATGCAAATTTGCTTAGACAAAGACAAATAATATCCATTAATTCATTCATTCTTTCATCGTGATATCAATTATTCTTATAAAAACATTTAATTAGCAATAAAACTTGATAAAAAATTATTTTCCTTTCAGTTACAATGAAAGCAACAAGATGAAGACCAAAACATGAAGATCGTTTCCAACTCATTTTAAAGGTTCACTTTTTACTCAGCACAACAAGAGCACATTTTTATCACACAAAACTGAGGTGAGGATGAAAGACTTTAAGAATCCAATGATTTAAACTTAAGACTCCAGTTTGATCCATTGTAATATTACATATAATGATATAACTTTTTTCATTGGTTTCTTCAAGATATTTTTAAAGATGGAAAGTATTTTAGTCGCTGTTGAATGATTTTGCAAATGCCATTTGTTGTTTTGAATCTTAAAATTTTTTTGAAATGGCTTCGGCAGAATGAAAAATGCTAGAAAAGAAAAGTTAAGTATAAGTCAGGTGACTCAACTAAGTGCCACTTGCTGTGATTCACTTGTTATATATGCTTTTGCCATGGTTCTGAGTCACAGTGAGAGGATTTGGCTTTTGAATACTAGATATCTTTCAACTTTTGGGCACTGCATATGTTATTACCTCCTAATCATGTCTTGATATATTAGAGTTAAATTCATTACTAAGAGGGACACCTATTTTAACTTAGAGACCATTCCCACAGATATCTAGATCGATCTATCCCCCTGTAGAGTCTCATTAGATTGCTGTCAGCTTAATTGGCTTAAATGTCTGTCCCGCCTACTGAAAGCTGTAAGGGGGTAATAAACTTTTGTGAGCGCTCGGCTCCTGGAAGCTGACAGCAATTTAGCGTGAACCCCCAGGGAGTTAGGTCAATCCAAATCTGTGGGAACCCTGTCTTAATCACCTTACTGTGAAATTAGAAATTCCTCATGACATTTTTTCAGGTATTACTAACATAACGTAGTTCTCAGAAACAATTCAACATATCTTTTTATCTTGAAATTAGTAATTTACAAACTACATTAGATTTTTCCCCCAATTTCAGACCATGTCATCTGTGAAGGTTGCAGTGCGGGTTCGCCCGTTCAACAACAGGGAGATAGCGCACCAGTCCCAGTGCATCATAGAAATGGACGGCTACACAACAAGTGAGTATCGCTGCCCCAACATGGCAACATGACAGCAGGCCCCAGTTTCACAAAAAAAAAAAAAACTTATGGCAGGTTCCCTGGCTAAGATCTTAATTACCAAGGTTACATGGTCACATGGGCATATCTTAACCTATCAGGAGCAGTGTAACATCAGTCTCATGGAAATCCTAATCAGCTAAGCTAGGAAACTGACTTAAGTTTTATGGTGAAACTGGGGCCAGGGTGTGGTTATGACATACATTTGAAGCACAGACATTTGATTCAGAAATGTACCTGTCGATATAGTTTTAAATGATAGAAATACGGGAGTCGGGGGTATCAAGAAGAGTGATTTAGGGGTGTAGCCTAAGGGCGTATTCCCAGAGCTTTTAGATCGATCTATCCCCGCGGGGAGTCTCACTAGATTACTGTCAGATAATCCGTCCTACTACTACAAGCTGTAAGGGGGTAATTAACTTTCGTGCCCGCTCGGCTGACAGCTATTTAGCTGAACCCCCAGGGAGTTAGGTTGATCTAAAGTAGATCGATCTAATCTCTGGGAATGGGGTCTTAATTTCCAGATTGTATTCTTTTAAATGGACCCTAGCACCTTTGTACCTCTATGGCAACATATAAATGGGATGTTGCTACTAAATTGAATGTAATTAGTACCACCAGTGGGTACGCTGGCAGTACTCATGGTTTTACTCCCTGCCCATCATATTTAAAATTGAAGTTAATGATGAATGAATTATTTTAGTATTGGAGGGATAAGCAAAAAAAAAAAAAAAAAAAAAAAAAAAAAATTTGAAATGAGTAAAATAATTTATGAATTAGACTTATAGTTTGAAATATTTTCTGCTTTTTTCAACAAGTTTATTGAAATAAGTTAAAGAGGCATACTTTTTACATTTGAGAGATGATGTACTCTTACATATTTTTCATCAGCTGACCTTGGTTCTGTGACCAATAGTTTTGCCTAACATTATTGTAGGAAATAGTACATTAGTGTTGACGTCTATTCACAGTAAATCATGAATAAAAAGTGTACAAAAGTAACTAGATATGCCAGCATCCTGATTTACAAAGAAATCAAAATGGAAAAACTCAGTGTGAATGTTCAATTAACTGACGGGTTGCCAATATCAGTGACAAATGAACTGACGAAAAAGCATACATTTTGAAGTTGGGTTGCCTTGGTAACTAATTCGATCCTATTACAGCGAGGTTGATTTTCCTTTACTGTTCTGATGAAGTTCGTTTAATTGCAGTGCTCAAATTTAACACTGACCTGCTGGCCCCGTGCCAACAAATGCCCATTGGACTATTATCAATTTGATCCTTTATTGGCTTGAGGGGCTGGTGATAATTGACCAAAATAGTCTGGAATGATATTTTAAAAATATTTTTGTAGATTGAAGGTAACTGTAATAAAAGCAATGCAATCCAGTTTTTACTATTACATATCTTTATCAGCTTATGGCTTACCATCTTTTTATTAGCCAAGGAACATTGAATTTTGTTTCTTTTAAATTTTGTTTGAATTTCATTCAAATCCAAACCAGTCTGTCATCATATCTCTGGTTATTCTGGAGAGCACAAATTCCTTTCAAGAAATGATCATAATGTTATCATTTAGTCGCTCAGGGCTGAGTATCTGTTTCCATTTTCCATAAAAATCAGCAAAAAGATTGATTTTATTTTTAGCATCATATTTAATGGTCTCAACCCTAATGGCTCGGTGACCTCTGACAATGGAGCAAATTTTATTTGATCTTTGTACATCAGTTGCTTCAAGCTCTAAAAACTCCCACTTTTTTCTGAAACTTCCATTGATGCAGTTTTCCCACAAGTCCTTAAATAATAGATTCAGGTTATTCAGGCAGGATGCTTTCCCTGGAACATTGTTCTGTTCCTAATGTGTTGTGTATAATGAAATAGCGGAACAGAAGCCCACGAATGCATTAAATCCTTTAAAGTACATTGCGCTCTTATGGGATAGAGGCAGCTTTTCAAATCTAAATGTGGGTAGCTGTAATGGTTCAGTGTTATGAAACTGTAATATGTCACATTACCTTCAGGCTGAACGCTGCTTGGTATGTGTCCAGTAAAATTAGCAGTATACCAAAATCACGACTAAAACAGATTTTGATAAAAAATGACAAGAATGCAGCCTTGAACCATGCAGTGTACCCCTTAGCGAAATGAGAAGTTTGAAGCAATGAGTTTCTTAGAAAAAATTTCTTGCTGCTAATTTGCAGCCACATTGCAGCAAATTTCCCTTAAACTTAAAAAAAAAAAAAAAAAAAAAAAAAAAAATAATAATAATAATAATAATAATAATAATAATAATAATAATGAATTTAAAAGATAAATAAATAAATAAATAAATAAATAAATAAATAAATAAATAAATAAAAAATGAATAAAAATATAAAAAAATTACAGTTTGCAACATGCCTGATGTTTTGCTAGATGTGCCCTCATGCAATCTGGTTATCACTGCCAGTAATGTCACCCACTCCAGTACTCAACTCACTCATCACTATACATCCCCCTCACCTCCAAAGTTAATGATAAGGTTAATTATTTGTGCCATGATGTGGTGTTGATAGTGATCAGTGTTTAACTACAAACCACGCAATTCTCAGAAATGATGAAAACTTAAAATTGCATCTGCGTAAGTACCAGTCTATTTATTATTATTTCTCTTATAAGTAGGCGATATCCTTTCAGAAAAAAAATATTGCCATTGATAATGTGTTATTATATTTTGCCATTGCTGTTATATTGATTACCATAGATATAAACTTGATATATTTAGCCACTGATAATAATATAGATATGTTTTTTCCTTTGTAGCCATTACCAATCCCAAGGCAGGTCCTAAGGAACAGAAGACCAAGAGATATAACTATGACTACTCCTACTGGTCTCATACTACGGTGAGTTGTTGATGTTTACTATACTCTTCCAAAAATGTCCAAAATCAACCCGAATAAAAAGTCCCCAGGAGTCAATTCCTTCATATTATCAATAATTTCAATTATAAGGAAAAATACATGTCATAAATGAAATGATTGCAAGTTCAAAGTGTGTCCACTTTCAAAGGCCATGTATGAAAAGCAGAGTAAATTATATTCTTTAATTAATACAAAAAAAAAGGAAAAAGATATAATTTGTGACTTTCCGTGTCTCTTCTATAAAGTTTTTTTACTGGTAAGAGCGATTGAAAAAAAAAACAAAAACCCTGCATATTCTTTGCTTTTTCTTTCAAGTAGAAACGAAAATATGTGAGTGGATAGTACGATGTTTGCATTAGATTGGATTATAGAGAATACAGAGATTAAAAACAAATTACATGGCCAAGCACTAATTTGAATTGCAGTCATATTTATTATACAATCTGCAAATAAACTAATCACTGAAGAGCAGAATTAACACAAAATTGATTCATGCAAAAGTATGACTCTAGGGAAATTGCTTGCAAATCTGAATTACGTGAGCCAAATGGAAAATGGTAGTATGCACTGCTTAGATATCAAGAATTATAATTATATTGATTAGTAGCTGTGTTGCCAGAGAAGATTGCATGATAATTACGTGATGTTATAATCTGAGAGTAGTATTTTTGCTGGTGTGCGAGTGAATGAAAATTAGAGGATTGTATTAATTGGCCATTAATTAGAGGTTTGAACTAATTGGTCATTAGTAAGAGCATTGTACTTAATGATAATGATATAATGGTGCCCACATGATACTTCAGCATGCTTTGCTCTTCATTTGTGCTGCCAGTACATTAATCATTTGCTTGATGGATAGTAGAAAGTGGCCTTTGGTATAAAACAGTCAGATTCCTTTCACTAATAATGCTCCATTCATTTATGATATTTAAAATGTTCGAAATAGCTCAGTTATGTTAGAAATCAGTTTATGTAAGCTGCTATTGAATTGGATGATTGGAGTCATGAGCTGAATGTTCCTGAATACTTGTTTTATTTATATATATATATATATATATATA